GCTCAGTGGTTCAGTTTTGTGACCCCCGAGCCAAGAGGTCACTGGTTGGATTCCCAGGCAGGGCACCTGCCCTGGTCACAGGCTGGATCACCAGCAGGGTGGGTGCAAAAGGTAGAGTCAATGTTCCTCCACGAACGATGATTTCATCGCTCCCTCTTTCTTCCTCTCTAAAAAATCAACACATTGCCAAAACCGGTCTGGTTCAGTGGATGTAGCATAGGCCTGGGGACTGAAGGGTCCCAAGTTAGATTCCAGTCAAGGGTATGTACCCAGGTTGCTGGCACATCCCCACTAGGAGGTGTGCAAGAGGCAGCTGATTGATGTTTATTTTTTATCGCTGTTTCTAACTCTTTATTCCTCTCCCTTCCTCTCTGTAAAAAAAAATCAATAAAATATATTTAAAAAAATCAAAACATTAAAACAAAACAACGTATTATAAGGTAACAGACGGGAGAGTGCGTAGGAAAATAATAACCCCTGTGAGTACAGGTCGGTCACACAATCGGAGGGCTTGTTCTGATTATTTTAAACAAAACCCACAAGGTTTTCAAATAAAATATTATTTCCCAGTCCGCTGCCTGTTTCCTATTCTTCCCAGAAAAGCCAGGAATGACTCAGATCTCGCGAGAACTTTGTACTCTTCCCTCGGCCAGGAGGTACTAGGAGGCGAGGCCAGGGATTGGCCAACCAGGAGGCGGGGCCTCTTCCGCCCCGCCCCCGTTGCCGGGATACGCGGAGGCGCGGAGCCTCCCGTGGTTTCAGCCCAGTGGGCCCTGGCAGGCTGCGCCAGGGTGGGCGAGTGGGCGCGTTCGCGGGCGGACTGGTGCTCCCGGTGGGGGCTGAGCCGAGCCTGCCGACCTCCCTCCTCCTGCCGCGCCAGCACAGGTGAGAAATCCTGAGTCCCCTCTCCCTTCCCCCCCATCCCTCCGGACCCATTATCTCACCTTGGAGATGCTGCTGCGCTCAAACAAAACAAGTCCGATCTCTCCATGTTTCAGTGATTCTCAGGCCGGTCGCCGGGCCAAAGTGTGCACGGACACCTCTCGCTGTCCCCTGAGCAGACCTGCCAGGGCCAGGCCAATGGGAAGGATTCAGGAGCCGCAAAGGAACAATTCTTAGGGTTCAGAGATGTTTCCCAAAATAATAGATGTATGCCTGCCCTGTGCAGCAGTGGGACTTAGCCATGTAACACTTCTTTATGTGTGTTACTCTGGCTGGTTTAGGGAAGATAGGGATAGTAATCACAGCTAGGAGCCAGGTGTTGTATATATGCTATCTGTAGTTTTAACAGCTCTGCAAGATAGAGGCTGTGGCCCCCTTCTGTTTTATAGCTGAGGATGCACCCCCAGAGGTGGTAGCTGTCAGAGCTGAAGTTTGTATCCTTTATCTTTCTGGAGTCAAAGGCCAGGCTTCTCTGAGTATGTATGAATAACCCCCAAATTAGTGGCTTTTTTTGTTACTAGACTCCTCCCTTTTATATTGCCACCTAGAACTGATCTCATACTGTGCTTTTATCATGCTAGAAAGCAGTAGCAAAGAAAATGAGGTAGAAATGTGATACACTGTAAATTTTATTTTTTAGAATATTTTTAAATTGATTTTAGAGGGAAAGAATCATTGATAGGCTTCCTCCTGCACGACCCCTGCTGGGGCTCCAGCTGCAACTCTGGCAAGTGCGCTGTCCAGGAATCCAACCATGACCTCGTATAGCCATGCTCAATCACAGAGCAACACTTTGGCTATTGTACACTTCTTTTTCTTTCTTTTTTTTTTTTTTTAAATAAATCTTTATTGTTCATATTATTACAAAAGTTCCTCATTTCCCCCCCCTCCATCAGGTTCCCACCCAACCCTCTGCCCTTTCTCCACCCCCCACTGTCCTCATCCATAGGTGCACAGTTTATGTTCAGTTTCTTCCCGCACCCCCCTCTCCTCTTTTCCCTGAGAATTGTCAGTCCACTCCCCTTCCGTACCTCTTGATTCTATTATATTCAACATTTAATATTGTTCATCAGGTTTTTTAATTCCCTTGGTTTTTAGATTCTCTTGATAGTTACATATTTGTTGTTCATAATTTTTATCTTTATTTTCTTCCTCTTCCTAAAGAATTCCCTTCAGCAATTCATATAATTCTGGTTTGGTGGGGATGAACTCCTTTAGCTTTTTTTTATTTGTGAAGTTCTTTATCTGGCCTTCAATTCTGAATGATAACTTTGCTGGGTAGAGTATTTTTGGGTATAGGTTCTTGTTATTCATCACCTTGAATATTTCTTGCCATTCCCGTCTGGCCTGCATGGTTTCTGTTGAGAAATCAGCTGACAATCGTATGGGTGCTCCTTTATAGGTAAGTACCTGCTTTTCTCTTGCTGCTTTTAATATTCTCTTTGTCTTTTGCTCTTGGAATTTTAATTATGATGTGTCTTGTGTGGTCCTCTTTGGATTCCTTTTGTTTGGGGTTTTGTGCACTTCCTGGACTTGTAAGTCTAATTCTTTCGCCAGATGGGGAAAGTTTTTGTCACTATTTCTTTAAATATGTTTTCGGTATCTTGCTCTCTGTCATCTTCTGGGCTGCCTATAATTCTGATGTTGGTTCACTTGAAGTTGTCCCAGAGGTTTCTTACACTATCTTCATCTTTCTGATTCTCCTGTCTTCTTGCTACTGCGGAGGAGTGCCCTCTAGCTCTTTGACTTGATTCTTGCAATCTTCCATTCTGTTTTTAGGACTCTGTATAATATTTTTTATTTCAGAGAATGTATTCTTTATTTCTAGTTGATCCTTTATTATTTCTAGTTGATCCTTTTTCATATCTTCATAGGTCTTGTTTATTTTATCGGCCTTTTCTATCAGATTCTTGAAAAACCTTATAAGCATGGTTTTGAACTCTATATCCAGTCGCTTTTTGTCCTCCATTTCTTTTATTTGTGATCTGTTTCCTTGTCTCGGCATTTTCGCTGCTTCCCTGAGTTGGTAGGGTGGGAGGATCAGCTGTATCTATGCCAGGAGACAGCCTTATTCGACGAGACTTGGAAAACTCAAGAGGGTCTCTGCTCAGCTTGGATGGGGAGGAGTTTCAGAGTGGAGCCTACAGCCTTGGCTTCCGGTTAGCCCCGCCTTATGAGGTTCCTGAGTCTCAGTATTCCTCAGTGTCCTTTGGTACTCGCTGCAAGCACCTCTGAGAGAAAGGTGCCCTAGAGTTTCGCCCACTACCAGACAGTCTAGTCTCTTCCCCACCACGCCCGCAACTGGAGTTCAGTGCAGTTGGAAGTGGGGTTAAGAGCAGTCCAGAGCTTATGTCTCCTTCCCACTAGGGCAATCCAGCGGCTCAATCAATAGTCTTTCCTCTGGGTGCAATGTGTGCGACTTCGGGTCTCTGCCTTTCGCCACTCCCCTGAGCTTCCGCCTTACAGCCCAGAATCCCTCTGTATGTGTTTGGATCCCCAGGGTCTGGCCTAGAACTGGGGTTCAGTGCTGTCGGAACTGGGGTTCAGCACAGTCCGGAGCTTTTATCGCCTTCCCGCTAGGAAACGCCCGCCAGGCACTCAGCGGCCCCTCCTCTCCGGCTCCATCCTCTCTGCGCGCACGCAACGTGTCTCAAAAACCTTAGGCTTTTACAGTTCCTCTGATTTTCCTTCTGGTTTTCTCTTTCCTTCTCGTAGAATTTCCAGTCAGTCAACTTTCCTGTAGTTCTGGATAATGTCCACTTTATATTTTAGTTGTATTTTTTGAAATTGTTGTGTGAGGCTGCAGGTAGACGGTTACCTATGCTGTCATCTTGGTTTCTCTATTGTACACTCTCTTAAAGTTATTAGGAAAGCTAGAGTAAGGTTGTGTAATTCTGCTGGAAACAAAGGTTTATTAGTGTTAGCTTTCTTTGGGAGAAATCATTTTGTCTGCCTTTCAAAATGTTATTTCATAAAATTCCCTTTTCCATTTGAAATAATAATTACTCTCTAACTTTGTCCACCTACTTCAAAATGGCAAGGAAATAGAACCATAGAGCTAGCTGGAATGGGAAGATTTTCAGTTTGGTGTGAACATACTAATAGGAAGTGATAATGGGATATCTGAGTAGAAATTTCCAGTACAGTTGAAAATTTAGAATTGGTGCCCAGGTTAAAGGGCACACCTGGAGACATTGATTTATGATTATCAACAGAGTTAGAGTTACAAGAAAAAGGATGAACGACTATAGAAGAAAAGCAATCCAAGAAGTGGGCATGGTGTGTAGAAACTGAGAAATCATTTTTGTTCAAGAAATGATTTCTTTCTTTCTTTCTTTCTTTCTTTCTTTCTTTCTTTCTTTCTTTCTTTCTTTCTTTCTTTCTTTTTTTTTTTTAAAAATTGATTTCAGAGAGGAAGGGAGAGGGAGAGAGAGGTAGAAACATCAATGATGAGAATCATTGATTGGCTGCCTTCTGCATACCCCCCACTGGGGATTGAGCCTGCAACTCAGGCAAGTGCCCTTGATTGGAATCGAACTTGGGATCCTTAAGTCTGCAGGCCAATGTTCTATCCACTGAGCCAAACCAGCTAGGGCAATTGTTGTAGTAAATGATTTCATGGTTTTAAATGGGACATTAATGTCAAATTTGAACAAAATTAAATCAGGCTCTGCTTTGTAATACCTGGAATAGCAATTTACAAGAAAAATCATTGTGGCTGAAACCAGTTTGGCTCAATGGATAGAGTATCGGCCTGTGGACTGAAGGGTCCCAGGGTCGATCCAGGTCAAGGGCATGTACCGTGGTTGCAGGCACATCCCCAGTAGGGGGTGTACAGGAGGCAGCTGATTGATGGTTTTCTCTCATCGATGTTTCTAACTCTCTCTCTCTCTTCCTCTCTTTAAAAAATCAATAAAATATATTTTTTTAAAAAGAAAGAAAAATCACTGTGGATTTTTGAAGGTAGGGTATGTGGGTCACTAATGTCTAGCTATAGAAGATATCAAAGAAGAATTGAACTATTCCTTCTTTCTAAACAGTGGTTAATGTGAACAGACATGGCCAGTAATCACAAACCAGCAGCCGCTCGCCCCATTTCACGAGGTGGAATTGGGTTGACAGGAAGGCCTCCTTCTGGAATCCGACCCCCATCAGCAAACATTCGAGTAGCAACTGGAGTAAGTTTAAAATCTATTGAATTCTTGTGCATATATATTGGTAAAGTTGGAAAGGCTGTCTATAGTAATAAATTCTTGCTTGCTTTTTCTTTATTTTATGAACAAACTACATGTCTGTTTTTTGAAAATGTTGAGAAGTATAAATGTGGGACAATGTCTGGAAGACACTATAGAGAGAAGAGGCATGCTCATGTTGATATGTAAATGTATTTTAAAACTACAAGTATTCAAGTAGTGTAGTGTATTAGTGTCAAAATCAAATGAAATGGATAGACTAGAAACAGAATCAAGACATGTAAGAATTTAATTATGACTAAGGTGGCATTTCAAATTAGTTGAAAAAGCATGGAGTATTCAGTAGTGCATTCAAATGACTGAAAACCATTTGTTTTTAAAAAATTGATCCCTTTCTTACTCAAAATTTTAGATGTTAGAAACTTTATATTTAAAAATAGGGAAATCATAAATGTATAAGAGGAAAACATAGGCAAGTATTTCATATAAACTTAGTATAGGCTAGGACTTTGTGAAATGACACAAATACTGCCGAAACCGGTTTGGCTCAGTGGATAGAGCATCGGCCTGCGGACTGAAAGGTCCCGTGTTCGATTCCGTTCAAGAGCATGTACATTGGTTGTGGGCACATCCCCAGCTGGTCGATGTTTCTCTTTCATTGACATTTCTAGCTCTCTATCCCTCTCAATTCCTCTCTGTGTAAAATCAATAAAATATATATGTATATAAAAAATGACACAAATACTGAAAAAGAGGGTATTTTTATATTTTAATTTATCATATTGAAAATACTGTTGAACAGCTAAAAGAACAATGACAAACTGGTAAAGGAATATTTGCAATATATATGTCATACATAGAATTCAGAATATTTAAAAGTTCTTTCTGTATTAAAGTTATAAACCAATCTAAATTCAATGAGATTTCTTCTGGTGGTAGTGTGTGGATGTGTGTGCAAGCTAGCACGCACGCATGGGGGGGATATCATTATAAAGCTAAAAATTTATCTAAAACTATAAAAAAATAAGAAAGTATGATAGTTTAATATAAAAATATAAATATAAGTAAAACAATGTTCTGGTTGCCACAGCAGTCTAGAAACAAACTCTAACAAATACTAAGATCTTATATAAGAGTAGAGGCCTGGTGCACAAAATTCATGCACTTGGGGGGGGGGGAGTGCCTCAGCCTGCCCTGCTCCCTCTCACAACTGGGAGCCCTGGGGGGATGTCAGTCAGACATCCTTAGCATTGCCATGGAGGAAGGAGAGGCTCCCACCACTGCCGCTGTGCTCGCCAGTCATGAGCCTGGCTTCTGGTTGAGTGGTGCCCCCCTGTGGGAGCACACTGACTACCAGGGGACAGATCCTGCATTGAGTGTCTGCCCCCTGGTGGTCAGCACGTATCTTAGTGACTGCTAATTCTACCATTTGGTCATTTGCATATTAGCCTTTTATTATATAGGATATGCTGTAGATGAAGCTCCCTAGAACCATAAGAAACGCAGCAAATTCACTGTTAACTCATTCTTTTTTTTTAAAGTATATATGTTATTGATTTTTTACAGAGAGGAAGGGAGAGGGATAGAGAGCTAGAAACAATGATGAGTGAGAAGCATCGACCAGCCGCCTCTTGCACACCCCCTACCGGGGATGTGCCCTCAACCAATGTATATGCCCTTGATTGGAATTGAACCTGGGACCTTTCAGTCAGCAGACCGAGGCTCTATCCACTGAGCCAAACCGGCCTTGGCAGGGATTGTTATTTTCAAGCTCACAGATACCCCCAGCGTTAAACCCTCCCTCCCCCCCCCCCCCTCGAACCAACAGCAACAGTGCCATCTCCACAGCAGAAGCATGCTACACCTCACTGGGGGCATGGCTAAACCTGCCCTACTAGCCCACCTGGTTCTGCCCTGGCCCAGCCCCCACCCTGCTCCAGGAGATTGGAGCCCCACTGTGAGCAGATACAGCTGAGAAACAGCCACATACAATTTAAAGAATGGCAACAAGCAGGAAGGTTTGACAGTTACTCTCCATTAGGCCTCGCCCCCCACTAACACTCTGCCCCCTGCCAGCGCCTCCTGGGACAACCACCACTATAGGGCTGCTGGCCAGAGCCCCTCCTTCCAAGGCCCTGCCTCCACCTGGTGTGTGGAGTTGTAGGGATGAGGCATGCCTGGCCCTAGCGGAGGGTGCCTGGCAGAGGTGGACTGCAGGCCTCAGGGGCCTCAGAGGTGCTGACAGGTGGTCGGGTGGTCGCCAGCGTGCTATTGCTGTGGGCGCCCCTGGCGGGAGTTGTGGGGGAAGAGATTGGGGCTGCAGCTACCCCCTGCAGCTATCTCCCAGTCTGATCAGCCTCCCCACCCCTGGGTTGTGGGGGCTGGGGTAGGGTGTCCATCCTTCCCTCTGGGAGTGCAGGGGCTGAGGTAGGGTGTCCTCGCAGGGGGATTGGTGTTATGCCCAAGTGTCATAAACCCCAAAGACTACCAGGGAGCCGATTCCGATGCAATTGCAGAGAGTCTGTATTTATTTCGGACTAGTCCGAGCCCAGTCTCACCTACACCAATGAGGGCATGGGCAAGAAAGAGGAAGAACTTAACATATCAATGGGTTTTATAGGGAGGGTGGTGCTGCTACCTTGGCTGACCTGATTGGTTGGGTTAGGCCTAGGGTCCAGTTACCTGGAGCTGGACCCGCTCCCACCTGCCCTCTCACCCCACCTGCCCTCTCGCCCCGCCTGCCCCCTCACCCCGCCCTGCCCTCTCATTGGAAGAGCTCCCCGTGGTTGCTGCTTCTTCCTTCTTTGCAGTTGGGGCTCCTATAAGGCACTCTCTTCAGAGGCTTTGATTGGGAAGTGAGGCAGGGGGCTCAGTTCAGGGGAGCTAATCCATGCTTCTCCCACTGGAGTTCGAACAATGTGGGAAGCCAGACCCTCCAGGAGCCTGACTTTGCATTGGCTCACAGGTACTATTCTTCCACCTTCTCCCATCCCCCAACATTCCCCCTCCTCCCCGCCAACTTCTCCCAGGGAGTGCCCATCTCTCACCCACTGCTGTGTGCAAGGCTTCCTGCTGGTCTGTCAATATGCAAATTGGTTGTAACTGAGCCATCATAATAGACAATTAACAGATTACCTCTTTATATATATAGATAGTGTCATAAATAAGTGAATCAGAAAAATATATTAGAACAAAATTAACTTTATAAACTGATAATTCTAATCAGAATAATATCCTATAAAGATAATTATTACATTTTCTTTTTTTGAAAAATATATTTTATTGCTTTTTTTTTACAGAGAGGAAGGGAGAGGGATAGAGAGTTAGAAACATTGATGAGAGAGAAACATCCATCAGTTGCCTCCTGCACACCTCCCACTGGGGATGTGACCTCAACCAAGGTATATGCCCTTGACCGGAATTGAATCTGGGACTTTCCAGTCTGCAGGCTGATGCTCCATCCACTGAGCCAAACCGGTTAGGGCTACATTTTCATTATAACTATAATAGTGAAATTTGAATAGAACCTAAATGGGTTTGCAACAGATGAATCAAAAAAAAAAAAAAATATATATATATATTTTTTATCAGTTTATAAAGTTAATATATATATATATATATATATATTTCTATCATAGACTATTAGGTACCCATTAAAAATTTTTTAAAGCACATTTTAGAAAATAGTATGTATAATTATAAAAGGGTAATATGCTAATTAGACCAGACAACATTTTGTATGTAGGCCTAGGTCCTGGGTGCCTGCAGGTGGTCAGAGGGGAGCCAGCCCAGGTCTCAGGTGCCAGAGGGATGCCAGTGCCCGCAGCTGGGGGAAGGAAGGCCTACTTATGCACAAATTTTGGCATTGGGCCTCTAGACTATTATATAGTATTAAATTGAATGAATTAAGCCCTTTCATACGGGCAATCTTGTGATGGGATTATATCTAATTTTTTTTTTTAAGTGAAATTTTTTTTCCTGATTTTAAAGTTAATATTTACTTTCTGTATCAATGCTGAAAACACCAGATGACAAAATAAAAATGAACATCATTATATAGAGATAACCATTTGTTACTATTTTTTGTATAATCCTCCAGACTTTTGGTTTTACAAAATGAAATTATAAAATATTTTTTCATAAGCTATTTTGTTATATACTACAACTTATTTAGCTATTAGTTTATGATTATATGAGGAAAAATATCTGGACATTTGACTCCTTTCTAGTTTTGAAGTATCATGAAGTCTACACATAGAAATTTAAAATTTAAAGAATTTTACTTAACACTATTTTATATTTCAAACAAAAAATACGGGACTATTTTATAAATTATGTCAAACTGAAATTTAATATTCCCTTTTTGTTCTTAATAGTAAGAGTTACAGTGCTTTACTAGTTTATTAAAAGTGAGATCTTGTCTGTTATTTAGATATCACCTGGAACTGCAAGACCAGGCTCCCGTGGTGGCCTCATAGGGACAGGAGTTCTGTCTTCTCAGATTAAAGTTGCAGATCGTCCAGTAACACAACAAGGTTTGAGTGGAATGAAAACTGGGATTAAAGGTATCTATTTTAAGAAGATGAATACATTTTATATAAGAAATATTGTAGTACCATATTAATAAATCAGAATTACAGAGTGAAAGAGGCATTTTTACTTATTTCTTTTCTGTGATTCACAAAATAAGAGAATAACATTATTAACTGGAGAGTTATTCTATATGATAAAAGGCTATTATGCAAATCCACAGGGGGAGCACTGCTCAGCTGGCAAGCCCAGCAGCAGTGGTCGGAGCCTCCCCCAACTCTGCGGCAGTGCCCACTGACAGCTTAGGCCCGCCCTAAGTCATCCGTCAGACATGCCCCGAGGGCTCTTGGTCTGCAAGAGGGATTACCCCCTCCAGTGCACAAATTTTGTGCACCGGGCCTCTAGTTTACATAGGTGAAATATTTTTATCTTTATTTTAAACATGGAGGTTTGCTACAAATTCAAAAAATTTGAAATAAATTGAAGAAAAGCTTAAGAATGAAAATTAGAAAAGAAGAATGAAAATTAGATTTCTAGTACTACTGTGTAAACCCGAAAATAAGACATCCTCCGAAAATAAGACCTAGTGCATGGAAAGATAAGACATCCCCTGAAAATAAGACCTAGCGCAACTTTGGGAGAAAAAATTAATATAAGACCCTGTCTTATTTTCGGGGAAACAGGGTATATGAAAATATTCTGAAATACTTTTTTATTCTTTGTATATAAAAATTAGATTATTAAGATATTTGTGTATGAGGAGTCAAGAGGTGTTACTGTTCTAATTATACTGCATTACAATACATAAGAAAATGAGGCTACCATAGATTTATAGCACATCTCTCATTATGCTTCTCTGTATGCGTGTAGAAAGCCATAACCAGAAAAAGAAAAAAAATAAACAAAAAAAAGCCATAACAATATACTCTATGTTATGATTCAAATAATTGGTCTGTGCATATACACACACACACACACACACACACATACATATACATATATATGTATATAACAGCATGGTGAATTGTTTTATTTTCTATATTTGTGGCAAAGGATTTATGAAGGAGAAATGAAGATATTTCATTGGTACAGAATTAACTATAAGATATTATAATACCCTTTATAATATAGTATATCATGCCTTTTAGGAGATTTCATTTTCTTGTATTATAACAAACTTAGCTCACAAAATATTAAAAACCAATAGATTATTTAGAAATGCTTGGTTAATCAATACTGTGAAAAAAAAATGAGTCAAAATTATGTAGTTGTTTAGTCTTTAAAACTCTATTCATGGAAATGTTTGGGTGTTTTAATATTATCATATAACTTATTAAACATTAACAGTAGAAACATATGAAATTACATAAATAATTCAGTAAAGAAAGGTAGGGGAGGGTGGGTGGATGGGAAGAGATCAACCAAAGAACTTGTATACATGTATACATAACCCCTGGACACAAACAATAGGATGGTGAAGGCTTGGGTGTGGGGGTGAGAGGTCAGTGGGGGGAAAAAGGAGGATATATGTAATACTTTCAACAATAAAGATTATAAAATAATTCAGTAATTATTTGTACTTTATTAATTTCTCCTTCATCGCTTCTCGGCCTTTTGGCTAAGATCAAGTGTAGTATCTGTTCTTATCAGTTTAATATTAATTTCTCCTTCAAATCAGGACCTAATATCATTTAGTCAATTTCTACCAATATGTTGCCAAGCCTTGTGTAAACATTTTTATTGTTACCGCTATCTGTTGTGATTTTGTCCTGACCTATTCTAGTGCCCCATTTCCCATTCTAATAAGACATTCTCTCCCTCTCCTTTGCTAAGACCTCTCTAGCTTTTTTTTTTTTTTTTTAAATATATTTTATTGATTTTTTATAGAGAGGAAGAGAGAGGGATAGAGCGTTAGAAACATCGATGAGAGAGAATCATTGAGAGAATCAGGGCCTCTTGCACACTCCCCACCAGGGATGTGCCCACAACCAAGATACATGCCCTTGACCATAATCAAACCCGGGACCCTTCAGTCCACAGGCTGACACTCTATCCACTGAGCCAAACCGGTTTCGGCAAGACCTCCCTAGCTTTACACCTCACACCTTGCAGGGCACTTTATCTGTCTCAAGATTTGGGATATTTAATCTAGGAGTACTTTCCGTAGTCCTTCTGAAATATTAGATCATATATATAAAAGTCTCTGAGACAAATTATGAAAAATCAGCATCTCTTATTTGCATTGAGTTCAGTCTAAATCTGCACTGTCCGTCATGCTAGCCAATAACTACATGTAGCTATTTAAATGTAAATTAATTAAAATTAAGTAAAATAAAACTTGAGTTTCCCAATAGCTATAGTCACATTTCAAGTGCTGGTAATCCCACTTATTGGGCAGTACTGATATAGAATATTTTCTTTATTGCAGAAAGTTCTCTTTGATAGCCCCTTGCTAGACTCTCTTTGACCCAGTTTCCATTCAGTCAACCTGTGTCTTAAGCCCATTTTTGTGGCTTTACTCAAGCTTCTATTATATCATAATGGTAAGACATTAGTTCTCGTTTCCATTTCAATGATTCTTATTATTTGATTTATTGGCACATTCATGAGGACTGTCAGAGAATTGTATAGTATAATTCTGTTTGTGCTTTTGATTTGCTGTTTTGGTGGCACTTTTAAACTGAATACTAATGCTTAAAAACATTTTTTTAGGTCCCCAGAGGCAAATTTTAGACAAATCTTATTATCTTGGGCTTCTTCGGTACGTTGAATAAATGTGTTTTTTTCTAGGCATTACATGAAGTTTTAACTGTTGTATTTATTAAAATAATTAGGCATATGTTGATTTATAAGAATTATTTTGTGTTCTAACAATTTTTGGATAATTTGGCTGTATTACAAAATACATGTATAATGCAGTTAGGCTGAGATTTTAAATTTTATATATTTGCATGTAAGTATATATTTCAAGTTCACTTTTAAAATATGTAATGATAAAAATAATATTTTATACTTCTTTCACTACTTGTTCTGAAATACTATTGAAATGTCACCAGTTACATCTAACAAGAAAATTAATATATGTTTTTATTAAATAATATATATTTATAAAATTAAATATATATATATTTATTTATTTGTAAACATTACTTAATGCAAAGTTTTACCTAAATATATAGATAGATTGTCCCAAAAAATGTATATGCACTTTGAATGATAATAAAGTCAGTGTTTATTAATATACAGTTCATTTTCAAAATTTAAAAATATCTACAGAAATATTTTTTTGTTGTTGTTAATGCCTGTTTCAAACTGATGACCGTTGTGGTTCAGGCACTGCTGATTATGTGAAGCAATGGAATTGCAAATGTCCTGAATCATATTGACCCGATTTGTGTGGCTCAGTGGTTGAGTGCTGATCCATGCACCAAGAGGTCTGGTTCTATTCCCAGCCTGGGAACATGCCCAGGTTGTGAGCTTAATCCTTGGTGGAGGGATGGGGCAGGTATGCAGAAGGCAGCTGATCTATGTTTCTCTCACATTGATATTTCTCTCCCTCTGTCTCTCTAAAAAAATCCATAAAAACAGTATGGCTTGATGGTTGGAAGGTTGAAGGCTCAATTCCTGGTCAAGAGCACTTGCCTAGATTGTAGGTTTGCTCCCTGTTCCCTGGTTGGGGTGTGATCAGGAGACAGCCAGTCAACATGTCTCTCTCATATCGATGATGTTTCTCACTCCTTCCTTTCCTCCCTCTTTTCTTCTCTTCTACTCTCTCTGAAAAGCAATGGGAAAAATGTCCTCTGTTGAGGATTAACAAAACAAAAATTTCAATAAAAACATATTTTTTTAAAAAAGAATCATTTCGTTGGGTATTTGTGTACCCTCAATTTGTTAACTGTTGCAGATTTTATACCATAAACTTTACCTTTTATGTAACCTCATAAAAAAAAAGTCTAATAGATAAACCTTTGTTTGAAGCTTATTCTGGCTTCACCCTTTATTTTAAATCTGTCAAATTTGAAAACGAGTGAAAAGTAAGTGAGTTATCAGCTGTTAAAATGTCTATACATTTTTTTTTGGGGGGGGGGGTACCTGTGTTCCAAAAAAATGTATACACATTCTGAGTAATTATCTTTCAATTGCATATCTTTCAATTGCATTTTCAAACTTCCAGTAGCATTTTAGGATGAATTTTCTTTGTTCAAAGCTAACTGGTAGACAGGCTGAAAAGAAAGAAACATCAGTTGAAATGTCAGCGGTTAAAGTGTGTATACATGTTTTTGGGACACCCTGTGGATTTGGTGAGTTGTTACAAATATGGCCAAAATTTTTTTTTTAATATATTTTATTGATTTTATACAGAGAGGAAGGGAGAGAGATAGAGAGTTAGAAACATCGATGAGAGAGAGTCATCGATCAGCTGCCTCTTGCACACCCCTACTGGGAATATGCCCGCAACCAATGTACATGCCCTTGACCGGAATCGAACCCGGGACCCTTCAGTCCCCAAGCCAACGCTCTATCCATTGAGCCAAACCAGTCCCAGCTGTGGTCAAATTTTAATTAATTCCTAAGCTTTGTTATATATCTCTATGCAGCTCTAAATCAAGAACATATGTCTTATTTTCTACCTACCTTTTTCCTCTGCTCAGATGTCCTACTATCTTATTTCCATTTTCCCATTTTACTTTATTTTCTTCTTTGCTCCTCATCTATACCTTCTTTCTCTCTTATTTCCACTTCACCTAATCCTCCTATTGTGTCCTAAAAGTTCATTTTTCTTTTAGTCCTTCTTAATTGTTTTCTCGATTACGTGAGGCTTTTTGATTCTCCAACTTCTAGTATAAAGAGAAGTCTGTTTTCCCCATCTACCCTTGAAGCTAACATCAAAGAGAAAGTGAGGCCATCATTGTATAGCATCTCTCTCTCTCTCTCTCTTTTTTTTTTTTTTTTGTATAGCATCTCTTGATAGTCAGACACTTTTTATTCAAAAGAAGGAAACAAAATAAAGCCATTTGTCATCATTGCTTGCCTCTCTTCTCCAAGATTTGTGATTCTGCACCAAAGAAGAGTAGTTCTAGCTACTTGTGTAATTGATTGATTCTAGAGCAGTGTTCAACTGGTGGTGATTTTGCTTCCCAGAGAATATTTGCCAATTTTGCTTCCCAGGGAACATTTGCCAATTTTGAGACTCATTTTTGGTTGTCATAATTGAGGTTTGGAGGATATGCTACTGGCATCCAAACTAGGGATGCTGTTATACATCCTACACAGCAGAGGATGGTCCCCCCACTCCATGCCAAGGTATTGCTTAGTCAGTCATCTCACTAGATTGTACCAGTTTGTCCCTGGATTGTACCAGTTTGACCAGGTTTCCATTCTGGTCCTATGTCATCTTTCTTATTGAGTAGAGAATCTATGTTAGCTTTTTATCCGTTGGGATATACCTCATTCTTAAGCCCCTGAAATTATTTTTAAGTGAAATTTCACAAAATCATTTATAGTATTATTACACATTTATGAAAAGTTTTTTGTTTGATTAGAAAGTCTTTTCTTGACTAGAAGTATTGCTGACTTATTTTTTTTTCATTTAGAAGTAAAATAAATGAACTTACAACAGAAATCAATAAACTTCAGAAAGAAATAGAAATGTACAATCAAGAGAATTCAGTTTATTTGTCATATGAAAAGAGGTGAGTAATTTTGCAGCTAAAATATGCAAGATCTTTTTATCAGTAGCATTTAATGTGACATATCTCAGGAATTTTATACTGAATTTGTTCATAATGTTCATTTGTTTATTTATGTATTTATAAGTGTATTTATTTTATGCTTGCAGAGCTGAGACTTTAGCTGTTGAAATCAAAGAGTTTCAAGGACAACTAGCAGACTATAACATGGTATTTGCTTTTTCATAGAGATTTTCTTTGAATATTTTTATTGCTTTTTACCACTTAAAAATGTGTTATTTTAAATACCAAATAATATGTGAATACATGCATATTGTAAAAGATTAAAACTATAGAAGGTGTAGAGATTAAAGTGTTGTGGTCTTGGCCTGGTAGCTCATCTGATTAGAGCGCTGTCATGATTCACAAGGTTGCAGGCTTGATTTCTGCTTAGAACACATACAAGAAGCAACAAAATGACATCTCTCTTTCCTCTTTTTTCCTCTCTCCCTTCTTCTCTCTCTCTCTAAAAGTCAATAAAAAATTAATAAATAATTTACATTTTTACCGCTGTAATTTAAAATAGTTTAACATCCATCTCCCCTGGGGGAGAGGGGAGGGAGGGAGGAAGAGTCTGGAGAGTAGTTAAAGAGATCTTCTCCAAACTTTTTTCTTCTCTGGACCTTTCTTTATAAGCTCAGACATCTCAGAACAGACAAAACTCTTCAAGGTACAATCTGCAGGAACAGTAGTAGTTCATTATTGCTTACTTTTTTATATACCTAAAAATGTAGTTTATTGATTGGCCAAAAGCATAGTGTATGCTTACTTAGGTAGCTTACTATTTGTTTTTATCTTAGGAGATAAAATACTTAGAAGTAGTCATACTTAGATGAGTATTATTTGTAAGATTGAATACCTATATGATGGATTAAGAGAAATTTTATACACTAATAGAATGTATTTTTTGTGTATTTTTATTTTTAGTTGGTAGATAAACTTAATACCAATACTGAAATGGAAGAAGTAATGAATGATTACAACATGGTAAGAAAATTTATGAGCTGTAGATCAATTTAGATCATATCCTCCAAAATAAAGCGTTTATAGCTAGAAATAGTTTGATGAAACCTTATGGACCTTAGAGATAGGTATTACTCTAATCCCAAATACCACTATTATAATTGAGTTCCTTAATTGTGTTTTTAAAATTATTTCCTGTTCACTGGTTCTCCCAAGTGGATGATACCATAGTGTCTTTCAAAAGGCTATGTTTTAACAGGTCCTGCATTTGGCGTTAGTTAGGGAGTCCCATCCACATTTTCTTATATACACATTAATTTGCATATAAATTTATTTGATTTAATATTTGCATAAATGGAACTGAGTACTCAATGGATATATTATGTTACCTATATAGAGTTTTATAAGAAAGCGGGAAAAACAAATAGTTATATGATGTCAGTAATACTACTTTTGATTGGTAAATGAGATGTTAACATCTATTATAGTTTATTTGAATTATAAACAGTTGGATGAAAATAACATGCAACTTATAACTTACATAGCTTATCATTTATTTACACATTCAAAGTTCTATAAAAGCATAATATGCTAATTAGACCAGACAGCCGGATGACCTTCTGGATGAAGCTTGGGCTGTGAGGGCCGAGGCAAGCCATGGTGGCTGTGAAGGTGGAGCCCCTTGCACAAATTTCATGCATCGGGCCTCTAGTAGAATTTATAAAATTTTCTAAATTGGTTTCTAAAAGCATGATAACTTAGTGAAATTATTCTTGGCTTTTAGAACACAGGAGAAGTCACATGTAAAATGCTGAATTATTTAAGAATAAAATTTGTGTTGTGTCTAAATTTAACATATTATTAACCAACTGTGGAGGACCCAATAAATACTTGAGATTTTTATTTCATAAATTAAGTTTACTTTGGAATATTTGACAAAATGAATACTTTTGATGTGAGATTACCATGTCTGTGAAAAAGACTAAAAAATATCTGGTATGCTGATTTGTTAATTGAAATAAATACTATATATTTTTAAAAATTTTTCATGTAGCATTAGAATTATTATAATAATCTCTCATTTAGTTCATAATCTAAATAACCTTTAAATAGTTTGATTTAAATGGCAATTTCTTATCCCTCACTGTTGTGTTAACTCTTTATTTAGCTTAAAGCTCAAAATGATCGAGAAACACAAAGTATGGATATCATATTTACAGAAAGACAAGCGTAAGTACAATCGATATAGAAATAAAACATTCATAAGTGAGTTGTATTAGGTAGTTTAACTTCTGAGTCATGTACTTCCTTACAGATTTTCTTGTTTTTCTCGGTTGCATTTTTTAATTTTAAAAAGTTGAATATTTGCAATGTAAATTATTATATACACAGCTATTATCTTTATATACTACTAAGTACTGAAATTCTGTACAAATAAAAGCATTATATAGATTAGATAGATATAATTTCTACTTCTCAGAGTTTAAAAGTCTTAAGATGGATCAAACATCCTTATCTCTATGGTTTATAATTTTAACCTGGGCTTTTTAACTAATTTGAAGTATGAGATTTAAACCCCTGTCTAATGAAAGGCACATTACTTGTAGTATTTCATTATCTCATATATTATCCAATTATTAATTGATAATAACTAGACTAAATCCATGTCAGAGATTTAGATTATATGTGCATCTTTATATATTACTGGTTAAAGATTAAATACCAAGGGAATTATGGCAGTGACACTAATGCCTATAAAATAATAAGTGGATGTCCATTTGGGCTGCTATAACACCATATCATAGACTGTGTATTTTATAAACATCAGGAGTTTATTGTTCACAATTTTGGAGATAGGGAAGTTCAAGATCAAGGCACCATGTGGTCCCTTTCCTGTAAAGGTCCTCTTCCTGGTTCATGCCTGGAGCCTTCTGGCTGTGTCCTCTCCGGGTGGAAGGGTCAGGGGAGCTCTGGATTTCTTTATAAGAGCACTAATCTCATTTATGAAGGTTCTATCCTCATAACCTGTTCACCTCCCAAAGTCCCCACCTACTAATATCTTACCTTTGAGAATTAGGATTTTTACAAGAACTTTATAGAAATGCAAATATTCAGACAACAGCAATGGTTAACATAATCTTCTTCATCTGCATTTTGACCTTAAATATTGTCTAAGGCAATACAAACATAGATGAGCTATTTTGTACATACATTTACTACCTACATTTTGCCCCCAAAATATATCAACAATAATCTCTTTGAGAGCAAGGATAATAATTTACCAAAATTACCAAAATTCTGTAACACCAAATATATTGTCATGTTACCTCTGCAGTAAATATTTAATGAAAACTAGGATGTTAGAATATAATAATAAAACTTTTGAAAAATTTATTTGATGCTCCTGTAAAATGCTGTCTGAACAATTACATAAACTGGGAGTGTCTTCCCTTGTACAAAAAAAATTCCATATTCCTATGACCCAGCTCTTACATGAAAACTTTCCTTTTTGTTATTGTTGTTCTATTATTTAGTACAAATAGTTATCATTTACTTTATATAAGATACTCTTCTAGGTTTTTAAAGAATAAGAAATAATAAGCTCACTTGGCGGCCGTGAGTCTGTTCCAAGCCATAGGAGACTAGCTCCTGTCCCCACCCCTTCACTGAAACTGATGTCACCAGGTCACCAGTGCCTTCATTTCAGCACTCACTCTGATTGTTCTCTGATGCAATAGCCACTTACCATCTCATTAAAAAAAAAAAAAGAAAGAAAGAAATAATAAGCTATAGCCCACTGAAGACCTTATGATATTTATGATATTTATGTCCTCATTTATTTCATCATTTATCTATAAACTTACATAATACCTAGATCAGATTTGTATTATATGTACATGTTTCATAGATAATTCATCCTAAATGATAAATCATAGGTTGTAAGTTTGAGAATGTTACAGATTTTTTATTTCTATTTGGTTCATTTGGTTGAAGAAATAGTTCTTAAAATATACAAGTTTGTTCTAAAAATGTCAGCAGTTTAAAACTTCAGATCTATAGTTTGTAATTGAGGCTGAATGAAATAGGTTCTCCTGACCCTTTCAAGAAGAAATCTAAGTTATGAACAAAAGTTATTTTATGAAGTTTACTTTTATATGCAGCGGTAGAATAAATTTATTGTATGTATTAAGCAAATAACCAAAATCTCAATAACACAAAGATCTTGATACCTTTACTGATTCATAATTTCATTTTACTCTGCTTCTCAAATATTAATATTTGCCTCTTAAATTATGACATATTTGGTAAAATGATAGATTATTTAGAAAAAGATTCTTCATGTTTCTATTATCTCATTTATACTTCAGATTGAAAATAATGAAGTATTAAGAAAATAGTATGCATAAAGCACTGTATTCTTTAATGAATATTGAGAACATTTTGATACACACAAGCAAATATGCATGATAAATGAGTTCATTTTCTATTTCACTGGGTATATCATCCTAAACATTTTTTGTTTTCATCATAGACATTTGAACTGAATTTATGTATTGATACAACCTTTAAAATGACTGCGGAATGTAATGTACATGTACATTATTTTTTTTCTAAGAAAGTACCAAGTAAATACACATTTTTAAAACTACATTATAGAGAAATTTGAACAAAAATAAAATAATGTACTATTGTCCTGTGTACCCATGACCCTGCTCCACCTGTCCACAACCAACCTTGCTTCATCTATACCTTTAGCCATTGTTCCCTTTTCTGTACTATGAAGGAAGACTAAAACATCATTTCACCCATGAATACATTTCAGTGTTTTAGAGATATTTCCTGTAAAAGATAGAGATAAATACATTTAACCTTCCCACATATGATAGATTTTTTCCTCTCTTTTTTATTAAGGTATTATATGTGTACATATCTTACCATTGCCCCCCCCCATATGATATATTTTGTTACAGTTTGTAATGCCACTGTTTCCATTAAATTAATAAAATTGTGATTATAGCCAATTGATTATAAGGAGTTGACTTTTTATACTCTTCTAATAATAGTCTCAAGGCCAGTGTTTTTAAGATTATGTTCTTTGGACCCTTATTGTGCTATGAGCTCTTAGTAGCCATACCTCAAAGAAAAGTTGGAAAATTCTTCATACTTTGCCTTTAGCTTAATAAAGTTTTGGATGAGTCCTATATAGTAAAGAATCTTGTTTCACTTTGTTTAAACCTAGTATTTCCTCTAGTAATTCTTTAGTAATTTGACCATTTACATATTTCCCCCCTATTAATACTTCTGACTTCTCTCTGGAAATTGATGTTCTAGAAAATAGTTTGGGAAACATTCCTTCATGATCTGGTTCCCAAACAGTTGTTCATGGGCCAACTGAAGATTTCTCAGCCCTAATACAACTTATTTGAATAGAAATCTCCCTAAGAGAGGCAGACATATGTATTTTTTTAAAAATAAGATTATTTATAGATAATTTTGATACCCTGCATGTGGTGACAAACTTTATAACCCAGATCAGTAGTAATTGTTTAGGGATTGTGCCTGGACATTGTGCTATGCTCTAAATTGCTACTAAGTTTTCAGGGAATTATTGTGTTAATTCAGGAAGCATTAAGAAAATGTTTTCCAATTCTTTGAATTCATTCTGTGAGCATAAAAAAAAATCAATCCAAGTGCATTGTCAGTTTAAGCTATCCCTGTCCTTACTCTGACTCATGATATAAATCCAAAATCTTTCTCTACTGATTCCAATAAGTAAAACTTGAATATAACTTATCTGTATTAAATCCAATATCTGAACTAATATAAGAATCAGTTTATTTCAATTAATAAATAACTTACTTTAGGCTTTTTTTTTTTTTTTACTAGTATATATAGTCTTCTGAATACTGCTGAGAATAGTATTGTAACTGTTAGCTACCAAGGAGTGTCAGTATTTGAATATCAATGAGAAAAACATAATTTTATGATATTAACATGTGTTGCAATTAATATGAAGGTCTACTAGATATAGTTAGGTATATCACACATAAAAATCTCCATGTCTAAACAGTGAACTGGTAACATGTTTTAAATAATCGAAAATTGAAAAATTAATTTTCTTTACATAATTCATGAGTATCTATGTATTTATCTTCAATAAACCCATCATCATCCACTACAAATGAATGTAGTTGTTCAAATATTACTGTAGTATCTTCAGAGTTTGTATCTGGTATCTGTGAAAGGGAACTTGGATTTTGGGTAAAACCATCTTCATAGGTTTCTACTTCATGTTCTTCCAGGTGATGATGTTTATAACTAAGCAGAGAATTATACCATATTGGCAATTTGATAGCAATAAAAATGAGGAGAGAAGTCACCAATACAGTCATTACAACACCAACAAGAAAAGCCCAGCTTTTTCCAAGAGGTCCACGTTCTTAAATAGGATACAGAGACAGAGAGAATGAGAGAGGGAGAGAGGGAAGATATTTTGTTAAAATGACAACAAAAATTATAGATCTTAATAACTCCCCAATATTGGTATTAGAAATGAATGTACTTTATAATTTTCTTTAAGCAAAAGTTAATAAAACAACATAAAGATATAAAGATATTTTCTAGAGTGGTTAAAAGAATAACTCCTGTCTTTACAGCTATTGTTTATCCATTTACCTGGAAACATTATAAGAATTGTGACTTGCCCTGGCGATTTGGCTCAGTGGTTAGAGTTGGGCTGCAGACTGAAGGGTCGGGGTTTGATTCACATCAAGGGCTCAGACTTTAGTTACAAGCTCCATCCCCAGGCCTCCATCCCCTGGACAGGACATGTGTGGGAGGCAGCCAGTCAACGTGTCTCTCTCACACTGATGTTTCTCTCTGCCTCTCTTTCCCCCTTCCTTCTACTCTCTCTAAAACTTAGTGGAGAAATATCCTCAGGTGAGGATTAACAAAACAAAAGAGTTGTGGCTTTACTACCGTGTTTCCCCGAAAATAAGAAATCCTCTGAAAATAAGACCTAACGCAACTTTGGGGGAAAAAATTAATATAAGACACTGTCTTATTTTCCGGGAAACAGGGTAGTTAAAATTAAGCCTAAGAGTAGTTAAATAATATGCCTAGTGGCATTTGCCTGATAATTAGCAGAGCCTGTTTTGGAAACCTAGTATTTTGTAAATCTTTTGTTGACATGAGGAATTTTACATTGTTTCTAGTAACTTAAAATTTAA